CTTGTTCCTCACATAGCTGTAGCCTTCAGTGTGATATGCAGTCCCAGTTAAAGCCTGGAAATCTGGATCTGATCATCTTGAAAAGTCCCCTCAGATCAGTTTCAACCATTACCAGCCCTCGGCCGTAATACTTATGAATGTCAACAGCCAACAAAGAGTGACGCCGAGTCATTGTGTGTTTGCATGAGGGTGTGTGTGTGTGTGTGTGTGTGTAGTAAGGGTAGTGATCTGGAGAATGTGTACGTTATGCTTCAGAGGAGATAAGAAGTGAGAGAAAAAAAAGAAAGAATGTCAGCACACGCTGCAGGGAAAACTGACATTGACTAAATAGACGGAGGAGACAACAGACTGTCTCCTGAACACAGTTTAAAGTATAATAACCAGAAACGTTCTGATCCCACCACGTTACCGGTCCAAAGCTAATAACAGCCGACGATGTCATCACAGCCATAGATGCAATAGTTGTTGCTGTCAGGTCACTTTGCATGAAAACATTTGAGTAATTCGAGGCCTTAAATCCTTCCGAGTCGAGCAAAGAGAAACCGCTTAAATTATGCACCTAAGTTGTGAGTTCTGAATGCTGTGGTTTGGATTTCAAGTGTTCGTAGGTTTTATGAATAGCTGGTTTCATCCAAAGCTCCTCTAATCAGCATTTAGATATGAACAGTTGGTCAAAAGACGGTGACAGGTGCTGCTCTTAGTGAACAACACAACATTCTTGGCACTTTTAAGAGCAGTTTAGCACCTTTCAGCTCATTGTTTTGAACATCATGGATTCTCACACCATAATGTGTAACAGCTATGTTGGTCCACAGCGCGGAATGTGTTCGTTTCTTTAAAAAGAGGCTGTAAAATTTAGATCTTCGTGTTATTTTAGCCTGTTGGTTTGTATTGGCCTGCATCTATGTCATGTTACTCACAAGATTCTTTCACTTTGAGACTGGAGTTTAGGTCCCATGTCTGACCACTCTTTTATTCTATTATTCTTACACTTTTTTTGAATTTCCCGTCACGTTTTTGTGTCGTTTTCACAGAAACAAAAACATGATGGTCTGGGTTGAAATACAGCAAACGGTAACCACAAAACTCTGGTTGTTGTAAAAGTTGATGGACTGAGAAAGCCTCCTAAAAAATGCAAGCATCTCACAACTTTACAGTCTTTTTGGTGGAAATGTCTGGACCTGCGTAGCTGTCACACATTTTAGTTTTAGACCATTTTGATTCAGTTGTCGTCAGCTCCATACAGCAGCTGTTCTCCATGAAAAAAACTCTAATAAACTGTCTGTACAGTTGCTCTACAGGAAGCACCAGACAGGCAAAGTTGGAGACTTAATGGTGACGGATGAAAATTGGACAACAAATTGTTATGTTGCCTAAAGCATTCCTAAACAGTTAATATTGCTTTGTGTCTGTTGGATTTAGAAATATGTAATTGTTAGTTATCACGATTGCCAACAACAGCTTCATAGAGCAGTAACATTTTAGCGTTGCTGCACCTAAACGAATAAAAAGATTGAAACTGACGCCAAGATTGCATTTAGAAGAAGCTTCTTGTTGCAGAGCTACGGTGAGCGAGAGGCCTCCTCCTCAGTGATGATCTTTCTCCTCTGACGTCTCGCGTCAGTTCTCCTCAAGACCACATTCACACATGACGAGCAGAAGGAGAAACGTCTTCAGTGTTAAAGTGCAGAACAGGGAGAGCAAAGAAACGAAGGGGAATGACGGTGAAGCACACAATCAAGTCACTTACACGACAGTTTCAATTGATTAAGTTAAGTCCACTTTTTAAAAATTGACGTTTCATCACAAACTCCTCAAGACAGAAACCCGTGTGAGCGCGATCACCCGGTGACTAGCTGGTACATAATGACACACATTTGTTTATGACCTCATTAATAATTCACTTCTCTGTTGAGCTTTCGTGGCAGCATCGCAGGTGATGGAGGCTTCATATCAAACACTGACAGAAGTCTCTGTGAAAGCATTCTGCCAGAATCAACACTTTGATTGTTACAAGTTTCTGATGCCGGCGGCACGTTTCATGTCAAGTGAACGCAGAGTAAACTTTGCAGCACAATGCAGCTCGTCAGTGGCACCGTAAATATAAAGCTTCTATGTTTAAGCTAAGACATATCTGAAGAACGTTGCAGAATACACTCGAAGAACTTTTTCCCGCAGGTTTTTTTACTGACTGTGATATTTTATTTCTGTCTAATCAGGTGTCTCTTTCAGCTGAGCTCAAACAAAACCCAGCTGCACTATTTACTTTTCTTTCAAACCCGACGTAAAGAGTCCACAAAGGGTTTGATTTCAGGTTCTTGAAGTGCGAAACCTGCACATCGCAGCAATATTGAGCTGGGCTTGTGTATTTTGTCGGCATATCCTCTATCTCGTCCGATATCTCATTAAATTCAAGGTCAAAGGGAGCGCTGCAGCACGGCGTCCCAGTGATTAATCAGTGTTTACAGCACCTTTATTGCAAATGTTAATCAATGGACAGCATTGGCGATCAGCTAATGACACATCCACTGTTAGCCTGGATTTCAAATCTAATTAAACGAGTCGTCTACAACATGCTTAAAGGATTGAAGTCTGGCTGCATTACTGTCAAATGTGAGTAGATTTTAATAATTTGTAAACATATTTCAGTGTGTGAACAACTGATTTAAATGGCACTTGAGAAAAAAACAACAGTTTGTCATAATAAGAAGAAAGTTTCCTATAATTGCAACTTTGCATCTCGAAATTAAGTTTTTGCATCTTATAAAAATGTTTTCTTCAGTCTGATTTATGTCATAAAACCAAGTGTTTAATGATGAATTACTTTCTCATAGAATAAAGTTATCATTTTGAAGTCATTATTATGAAAAGTAAAATTTTAATTATGAGACATTTTCTCATTATTCTAAAATAGTAAGTCATTACGAAGACAATAAATCGTAATTATTAGATATGCTCTCGTAGGACGTGACATCAATTGAGTTCAATCATCGTTTGCAATGAACTTAAAATAACAACTCCTGCAGTTCACGTTACATTTATTTAAATTATTATTTTATACGACTTCATTTCAAGGGAGCTGCTTTCCTCAAATTTTGCAACTAAATGAAAGTCATCTGGGCTCACAGTGTTCAGGTTAAACACCTGAACTGAAGCGAGGTTGTGTTGTGTTTTTGCTTGTTTTGCACATTAGTGATCCTACACTGTGGAGGAAGCTGGAAGACTCTGCCAGGCGTCAAGTCATCGAGCTTGTACGCCGGATCTTCACTAATCAGTCAAACTGAACGTGGGAGCTGCTGCTGAGGTTTAGGAGGGTGGATGTGGAAACTGTGAAGGTGTGAACTTATTAAAGTGGTTCAAAAATGATCAGTGAAAAGTCAAATCCAGCGCAGGGCTCAAGAGCTCCCAGGCCTTAATGTGAACCAAAGGGTTCTGATTCTAAATGTGCTTTTAAAACTAACAAAAGCTGAGTGGACTCGATAATAAAATGCAAAAACAGGAGCAAAATTAACTGCAATCTGAATCTTTTTTTCACCCAACAAATATTCCCGAATACTGGTCTACTGCATATTGATTAGAGAGCTCCATCCATCCATCCATCCATCATCTATACACCACTTAATCCTCACTAGGGTCGTGGGGGGCTGGAGTCTATCCCAGCTGACTCAGGGTGAAGGCAGGTTCACCTGGACAGGTAACCAGTCTATCACAGGGCTACACTTAGAGACAGACAACCAAGCACACTCACATTCACACCTACGGACAATTTACAATCACCAATTAACCTCAACATGTTTCTGGACTGTGGGAGGAACCCGGAGAATCCGGAGAGAACCCACGCTGCACGGGGAGAACATGCAAACTCCACGTAGAAAGATCCCGGGTGTCCTCACCGGGATGTGAACCGGCGACCTTCTAGCTGCGAGGCAACGGTGCAAACCACTGATCTATTACTTTAATTTATGTCGCCTGATTTATCAAAAAACCAGCCAGAAAACTAATAACTTGCTTTGTGTATAATAATTCCTTTTGGTTTCATTTTGAAGGTATGAGCTCTTCCTTAACTGCACATCACACATACCTGCATGCACCAGCAGCACTACCTGTGATTAACGGCGACAGAGAGTCGCCTCGCTCTTAAATGCATCCCTGGAAACATCTGGTCAGTACTGGTGGAACTGGATGCTTTTCATAACTTGCACAAGATTACCTGGGTGGGTGTGTCTCCTGCCTTTTTTGTTGCTTTTTTGTATTTTTTAAACCTGGCCCAGAGGCTCCTGCTCACTTAGGGCTGCTTGCTTGAACAGCAATGTAAACACACACATAGGAATATCCATATAGTGTATAATTAAAGGTTTTGATTGACTGAAAATCGGCCCTTGTGCAGTGTTGGAGCCTGCAGGCTGTTTGTTCTCATAGCTTTAGCCTGGACTCTGGTCACTTCAGCATGTTCATCACGGCTGCTGACGAACACCAAACCTGATGTGTTCTTACTCAGTTTGCAGTCCATGCAGAAATTACCAAAGGACACTTGCGATTATAATACTGAAACTTGTGGCAGTTACTGATTGGACATGTTCTGCAAACAGTCCTGGAACTTTTTGATCACATCTAGCAAGAGAGTAGATAAATCCTGATGCCTTCTATGGTGGAGGTGTAGTTATCATTTTAGTAATTTATAATCAGGGAAGTGGCTTTTTTGAAACTTTATTTTTATAATTATATTTAAACATACATGGAGGATTTTAAAGTTGCTTTAAAGTGTTTCGAGCATCACAAACAAAACTACTCCATAATTTAGATGGACTGGCCCTTTACCAAATCTACAGTTTTTTGGACATGTCATCAGACTTGAGCCAGACGTGTTGCTTTAGTGACATTAATCACGTGTTTAATAAGTTATTGTCCCCGCCCTCACTGTAACATGTGCACGACAATGATCTAAAACGAGCGCACCGTCCGTTCATCCTACACGGGGAACTCTCGCTTCCTCTTGCGCATTTCCGCACTGTTGCGCCTCTAAGCTTTCCACAGACGCAGAGAGGCTGCGGTGCGCGACTGTCGTCTTCACTTCACCAGGAGCTCTGTAGGAAGAAGAGCTTTTCTCCGCGCAAAATCCGTAGTTTCTCCGTCCGTCTGCAGCCAAACACTGCGCTCAGCATCATGTCTCTGCAGCAGCTACGAGATGAAAGGTGAGCCTTAAAATCAGCTCCTAGTGAGTTTGCGTCAGGGACTGTGCGTAAAAACTGTCGTGAAAGTATCTGTAGCAAGCAGTGTGGATGTGCCTGTAGGGCTTTTAGGTCTTTCAGTTATAATATTTGGTTTATCATGAAGTTTTTTTCTCAGTTAAATGTAATAGGGTACTGAAACTACAGACTGGCTTTTTGCAGAAGTTTTGTGACTGCGGAGTTTCTTTCTGCTCTGTGGTGAAGAAGTTTAGGAAATTCCACTTTGTTTTGCATCAAGCACACATTAGAATAAGTCATGTTGGAGAGAAAACCCTCCTATGAAACCTTTGTTACTTTAATTGTGCTTTAAAATCTTTTTTAAGTGATAAAAGTTTCTGTAAAAATTCAAATTTTTCTGTGTTGCTCAGTGACTTTGATCAGCTCCCTCACAACATCCCGATCAGCGCCACTATTGCTGACATCGAGGAGAAGAAAGGCTTCATCGACTACTTTGTAAGTATGCTGTCCGACCAAACCACAATGTATGATCACTTTCTCTTTCATTCATGTCTCCGTTTGTCTGCCAGATGTTTGTGATCGAGGTGAAGACTAAAGGAGGGAGCAAGTACCTGATCTACAGGAGGTACAGGGAATTTTTCAACCTGCACCAGATCCTGGAGGACAGATACTCTCCCGACGACCCGGACAGACCCGGTCCAAACACCTGCGTCCTGCCCACTCTTCCAGGTGTGTGTGTGTGTGTGTGTGTGTTTGCAGCGCTGATAACTGCCGTGGTATGCAGCACGGTGTCAGATTTCACATTGTTCAGATGTGTGTTTGTCAGAGGCCTGCAGCTCAATGGGCGATTCACTACGCCGCCCTTTGATTCTGATGTCAGCCTCTCCGATTCTGACAAGCAGGAGGAAACCTCTGACCCGAGCTATAAGCAAACAGTCACACCCCATGATTTCCAGCTTTGTTAGGTTGCAGCATGATGCTTCTGCACCTGGCACTGGGTTAAACAAAAAGACAACTGAATTTGGAGTGAGTGGTTTGACAGACAAGTTAAACTTGGTTATAACTCTGCGGCATCTTCTGTTAATTCTATGCAAGTGTTTATGGTAAGATCTTGATTGTCAGAATTATAGATCAGGTATAGACAATATGTACAGTTGGAACCAGAAGTTTACATCCACTGTATAAAAAGACATAAAACCTTTTTTTCCTCACTGTCTGACATTAAATCAGACTAAACTTTTCCTGTTTTAGGTCAGTTAGAATTACCATAATTATTTCTATTTGCTGAATGCCAGAATAATGAGAGAATATTTTAATACTTTCTTCAAAGTCGGCAGAAGTTTACATCCACTAAGATGCCTTCAAACTATTTGGAACAGCCCAGATGATGATGTCATGGCCTTTAAACTTATAATAAGTTAATTGACAACATGTGAGTTAATTGGAGGCAAACCTGTGGATGTATTTTAAGTCACACCTCAAACACACTGCTTCCTTTTGTGACAACATGGAACATCTAAAGAAATCAGCCAAGATATCAGGAAGAGAACTGTGGACCTCCACCAGTCTGGTTCATCCTTGGACACAATTTCCAGAAGCCTGAAGGTTCCACATTGATCTGTTCAACTATTATACACAATTATAACCACCGTGGGAATGTCCAGCCATCATAGCGCTCAGGAAGGAGACGGGTTCTGTGTCCCTGAGATGAAGTGTTCTAGTTCAAATGTCCGAATCAACCCCAGAACAAAAGCTAAAGACCTTGTGAAGATGCTGCTGAAGCTGGTCAGAGAGTCATTATCCACAGTGAAACCAGTCCTGTACCGACATGGGCTGAAAGGATACTCAGAGAGGAAGAAGACATCACTCCAAAACAAAAACATAAAAAGCCAGATTACAGTTTGCAAATGCACACAGGGACAAAGACCTTCATGTCTGGAGACATGTCCTGTGGTCTGATGAAACTAAAACTGAACTGTTTGGCCTTAATGACCATCGTTACATTTGGAGGAAAAAGGAGGAAGCTTGAAGTCTGAGAACACCATCCCAACTGTGAAGCACGGGGGTGGCAGCATCATGTTGTGGGGGTGTTTTGCTGCAGGAGGGACTGGTGCACTTCACAGAATAGATGGCCTCATGAGGAAAGAAGATTATGTGGAAATATTGAAGCAGCATCTCAAGACATCAGCCAGGAAGTTAAAGCTTGGCTGTAAATGGGTCTTCAGATGGACAATGACCCTCAGCATACCGCCACATTAGTTACAGAGAGGCTTCAGGACAACAAAGTCAATGTTTTGGAGTGGCCATCACAAAGCTCTGATCTACAAACATTTGTGGGCAGAGTTGAAAAGGTGTGTGGAGCAAGGTGGCCAACAAACCTGACCCAGTTCCACCAGTTCTGTCAGGAGGAATGGACCAGAACTCTGTGAAACTATTGTGAGAAGCTTGTGGAAGAAACCCAAAACGTTTGACCCAAATCATACAGTTTAAAGGCAACGCTACCAAATACTGAGGAAACTTTTTATACAGTGGATGCAAACTTCTGGTTTTAACTGTATGTTCCATTGTCAAACATTGGATGCTTAACCATAATGACATTTGTAGTAATAATGACGGCAGCATTCATTGTTTTGTTGTTTGAGAACAGAGTGAAATCGACGGGTCCGCTGTAAACACCAGTTTGATGACAGTGATTCTGCTGAGTCAGTGCTCAGCTGCTGACTCACTACTGAGGGGAACTTTGTACTTTAGTGCCTCCTTTCTGCCTCGTCACTCCGTAACCTTCACCTTCAGATGCGTACTCGTTCTGCTCGGCTTCATGCATATGGAGAGGAGCAGACTGAGGTTTACGTGACAGCTGGCTGAATTTCCTCCCCGTGGCTGAAAGAAGTGAAACCCATCTGAACACGGTTTTAAAGGCATCTGCATCTGCTGCGTGTGTTGGACACGGAGTCAGTTCTGTCACTAAGTATTCAGCGTGGACTGAGGCACGATTGGATTTGCGTGATGAATTTAAAAACACATTAGCTGTAGATGAAATCAAAGAGGATATTGCGAAAAAATAATTACTGTTGTGGCCCTTAAGGATTTGATTACAATTTAATCCAGGTTTGGCGTGTACTCACACTCACACAATATGCAAATCCAATTGTATTTTAGCCACAAGGGTATAGCGGTGGCATATTTTAGGCACCTGTTGCTGCATAATAATGTCGCATTACAACTGTGGTTCTCCAGTGAGATATCTGCCAACTGAAGCATGACATCTGCTCTTAAAATATTGATTCAGTTGAATTTAAATGGGCTGAGGCTAAAACATTTGTTCTGTTGAACACAGTGAACCTCATTTTTTCTTCTTGTAAGGTCTTTTGAAATAATGCTCATGTTCTTTGACTCGCCTTTGAGCTGTTGTTGAGACGACCGTACTACAAAAGTATGATCCATAGCGTTTGACATTCAGAACAGTGAGGAAAGAGCAGATGGACAGAAGGACAGATGACTGCCACAGGGAAAGAAAAAGAGTCGAGATGAAGGGAAGGGCTTCAAGGAAGAGATGGGAGATGGAGAGTCATCCATTTTCAAGGGTCTTATCGTGGCCAGGCACTGTATGGGATGGCAACATGAGGAGAAGAAGACAACCCAAACACCCCTTTTCTATGGTAACTTCCTCTGTGTTAGCATCTTGCTCAGCTATTTTGAACATAAAGTATCTGCCACTTGATACCAAGATTCTTCAGAATCACTGACTCTCGTTGAAAGAAAAACATCTGGGGATAAACGTATCTTGGGCTGCAAGGTGGAGCGGTGGTTAGCACCATTGCCTCGCAGCTAGAAGGTCGCCAGTTCACGTGATCTTTCTGCGTGGAGTTTGCATGTTCTCCCCGTGCAGCGTGGGTTCTCTCCAGCTTCCTCCCACACAGTCCGAAGACATGTTGAGCAGTGTATAGATAATGGATGGATGGATGGATGGATGGATGGATGGATGGATGGATGGATGGTCCTCATGTCCTCCAATATCATGTTGTGAATGGCGACATGGTGACTAGAACCCGTCCGACACTGGATTTTCAGGCCCTTATCAATGTAGAAAGTATGAAATTCTAATATCAATATATTGGCCCACATTGAGGGAGAGTGTTGGGCTTTTTGTTTCATGTTCAAGCGACACATTTCACAAATCACTCAGTGAGTTATCGTGCAGACGTAGACTGGTGTCCAGGCCACTATCTGCTCAGTGCTACAAACTATGTGATGATGCTGCTTCTAAATCACCCCGGGCATCTTCTTCTGTTTTCCGGACAACATATACACCAATACCGACATATCTATGAAGGGTCGAGCTCGGCAAATAATGTGGGCCAGCCAATTTGTCAGTCAGGCTCTGATCCAGGTCGACTTCATGGAACCACATTTTTCTGTCCACGTGTAAACTGGGCTCCGCGACTAATGCCAGCATGCTGGTTGCTGCACCTCCCAGCTCATGACATCAGTCAGTAGGAAGTCATCTTTGGTCATACTTATTTTCAGTGTAGTTTAGGATTTCTTTAACGCTGTCCCGCCCACAGAGAAACTATCATGTGATGCAGTTTTATAGTGGGAGCGATTATACAGACAATCTGAACAGAGCAGCTGTCCAACATACTGCAGGACAGACTGACTCCCGCTTTCTGTTCCACCTGCCGGTCATAACTCTTGGCTTGTGATTCAACTCTGGCTTTTTGCTCATTCTGTAGCGTTTTTGTCTTTGTGTCTACTGAACCACTGGGAGGGTTAAAGTTTTAAAGATGAGCTAATGAGTAGACAGCAGGGGAGTTTTGATCATTTTTTCATTTTAAAGAATATGCATTATCTCTGGAAAATCCAGCGCTGTGAACTATTTCAAACACTGACATCTTCAGTGGATATCGTCTCACTTCTTGCAGCATATTGAATCCACTGGGAGCAGCGTTGTAGTATAAAGGTTTAAGTTGACAAGGAGCTGACTTACACGAGTCAGAAGAGAGAAGAAATACAACCAACAAAGCGGGTCTAGACATTTAATAATATATGGTCCGAGAAAGAGAAATCCATGCAAGTGAGCTGTTGTTTAAGAAGATTCAGCTTTGGGAAGAAACGCAGTCAAACAGAACCTTTAAGTTTGTCAGCGAGTGCAATAACGAGACAAACACTGAGTGATTGTTGAAGCTTAGAGAGAAGAAGGAGGCCTCACAAACTCTCTGAATTTCCCAAAAAAATTACTCTTTTCTTGTTGCACTGATAAAAGAACATAGATGATTATAAGAGCTAAGTTTTTCTCTGCTTTAGTCTTATTGAGTGTTTTGTTGTTCAGCCTTTGCTCCTCAGTCAACAGAAGACCAATCAAACCTTAAAATGAACCTAAAATCACTGCAAGACTTTCACCTGACAGCATACAGTACATTCAGGCCTCAGACGCCGGCCGTGCTGCCGTGTGACCGTGTTTGTCCTCTCGTCCTCGTCTGCCTGGTGGCTCCAGTTTTATTCAGCTCATTGTTTTCCCATAAGTCCGTCTGTCTGGGAGCGGCCGTCAGTGTCTGTATCGATCGTGGGAGGCTGGAAACCAACATCTGCACCAATAAAAGCCTGAAGGCTTTGAATGGGCGGCTCGGGCCATTGATTTGGGAGAGATGAGGACAGAGTGAGGCGTTTCTGTGAGTGTGTGTGTTACATACAGACAGAGAATCAAATTGCAGAGCACTGTAATCGTACTTAAGTTACATGCAGATGTATTTCAAATGAGTCATGGGCTTTAGTTTAGTTATCGACTTATAGTCTAACAAATTGAACACTAAATTTGCTTATTAGTCGGTGTTTTACATCTCTGAGTGTCATCTCAGCTGCTTCCTAAACAGTCACATTATGAAATCAACAGTAAAACGTTTTAAACTTTAAATGCCTTCCCATTATGAATCACATTCATGAAAGGCTTCTTATCTGTTAAAAACTATCATTTTTATGCTGCTGTGAGAATCTAAAAAACACTGACAGAACCGACTTCAGTGACCACACCAGGCTTTTACAGTAAAACACAGTCCTGACAGCTGTGATGGATCTCAGGACTCAACCTGAGGACGGCTTCTGTGTAACACATGATTTAACTGTGGCGTAAAAACTCAGACTGCTCACCTGTCTGCAGACCAGAAAAGAGTATGTTTGGGTTTTTTTTGCCATTCCACCCTGACTGATCCACGTCTCCACGTCAGAGATAATTTAAATTCTAACTAATAATGACCGCCGTTGTTCAGTGAATGTAAATCCGCACAAGTCTCTCTCTCTTTGGAGATGCTCATGAGAGCCCTGCTGCCGTCTGATGCTGTGGGTAATTAATAAACTCAGAGGAAAGACAAAGAGCTGGAAGCAACAAACTAAACTTCATCTCCTGTTAACATTTTGTAATAACACAGACTACTTTAATTTTTGATGAACCTCATTATTCTGACCTGCTACAATCTCCGTCTTCACAAAGTGGCTTTTTTTTTTTTATGGACATTTCAGTTTGTAATAGTCAGCGTGGCACAACTCAACAGACTTGAATGGCCTGTTTAACATACCGTATATGATGAGCTTGGAGGCTTTCTCTTATTTAGCTCTTTGGGAAACATGACAGTGCGAGGCAGAACCTGAAATTGCCGAAGAGTGAGTTAGCAACCGTGCACCAGCGTTGTAGGAATGTGTTCGTAAAACCACCAAAGCGCTGGAGCAAGTCGCTGAAACCTTGCTGTTGGCACCAGATGAAAAGACAGAGGAGCATAAAAGTTATTACAGCTGATCCTGAGGGGAAGGTTTGCACTAGAATGTCAGCCAACGTATCCTGTAGATGCAAAAATACTTGACTGAATCCGTCTAAATCTGGAAAGTCAACAGTCAAGGATCAGGAGAGGCAGTAGGGTTTGTCTTCTGGGGATCATGAATGTCTGTGCGGGGCTTTGTTGAGTTATTTCAGGCGCTGCTGTGCCAAAAGCTGGCAAGAAGAAAAGAGAAACTTAACGCGATCTTAAAAACACACACTTGGATGTACTCTGAATTTATGGCACCACCGCTGCTTGATTAAAGGGGAACGTCTACAGATTGGAGTCTTCATTAACCTGTCGGATCTGTTTAAACAAGGCTTCTGCTGTCTGATTTTGCTCCGGCCTGTCCTGCTTTATGCGTCTTCTTTCCTTAAAAGTGCAAAAAAAATACCGGAAGAGTGGCATTTATTTGACACATTGAGCGTGCGTCGTAGAGATGAACGTGTCTGTGATGGCAGCCTCTATGATACTCCACCTTTTTAGCAGTTACATAGCGGTGAACAAGTGGATTCGCTCCTTCGTATTCTTTATCTCATGCAGTCTGTCGTGATATGTATTCTGTGACCTTTTAAATAATAATAAAAAGCTACAAAATAGAGGTTAAATTTGTTCTCGACCGAAGCTTTTATTGTGGAAACGTCTCGCTGGACCTTAAGGCTGCGCTTCACATTGTCGCTTGCTATATTGGGAAAGTTCTACTTTTCTGCAAACTCTGATTTAGCATCTGCCACTGAGGAGTCTGCTGGATAATATTAGATCTGATGGGTTTAATTGCGGTGCCAGATCTCATCAGGATGGAAAGGGAATAAGAAAGACAGGGGGCGAGCGGAGGGAGGCGAGGGAGGATGGGTGATGGGCGTACGGGCAGATGGAAATAATGGAAAAGGATATAGGTCTGTCTGCTCGGAGTGAAGACATCCTGATGAATGAAAAGGAAGTAATTGAAAATGCCCTATTGTCCGAGTTAGTGTTTGTTTCTCCTATTTTTTTTACGTACTTCTCCTTTAATATTAGCTGCCTCTCATGTAAATGACATGTGCTTTTAATCGGACTGAATCCTACGTGGTGGTTTTCTGAGTCATGCATAATAGATGCAGCCAAGGTCAAGGTAGCACTGAACTCAATAACGCTGGAGGAGATGAAGAGAGGTGAGCGGATGAGTGAGTTATTCACCCAGTACGTGAGTAAATGAGTGAACTGAGTGATGGAGTGAGCGATCGTACTCCAGAGTGAATGAGATGAGAGGAATTGAGAGCGGTGTGGGGGGGGAGAGGGCTGAGTATTGTGGCTGAGGGTCATTAAGACTGTGCTAAATTTGATTTAACAGCAGCGTTATAGGCGGCCTTGGATGAATTGTTGGAGACTGATTTAGAGCGCTAAGAGTCTGAGCTGTGCCTCATCACTTTTTGACTGGACTCGGTGTGATATTAGGGATGAAGGGTAATATGTCCACGCTCTTAAGAAGCAAGTGTTTTTTGGAGGAGCGTTCGTCTGGTTTGGGACAAAATGAATAACCGCGTGATCTGGGGGTTGGATGGGGAAGTGTGTGTGTTTTATGGGGTGGGACTGAGGGCTGTGTATGACAGTCATCTTGTCTTTAGTTAGTACCATTTGTATTTTATAGTGTGAATTACGACCTCCCAATTGGCAGTGAATGGAAGCTACGGTAAATCTAACGCATCGCCTCTCCTGTGAGATGTTTTTGTGTGAGCGCAGCCATCAAAATAACATTTCTGATGCACATTTGACCACAATCACATTAATCCGAGGTGTGCAGACTGCTACACATGAGGAAAACATAAAAAAAACACCAAAATTAGATTCAATTTTACCAGATCAGTGAGATCTAAGAGAAAAAAAAAAAGTTTACATTTTCCTCTTAAAGACTCTAGTTCAGGGGTGTCGAACTCCGGTCCTCGAGGGCCGCTATCCTGCATGTTTTAGATGTTTCCCACTTCCAACACACCTGATTCAAATGATCAGCACATCATCAAGCTCTGCAGAAGCCTGATAACGATCCTGATCATTTGAATCAAGTGTGTTGGAAGAAGGAAACATCTAAAACTTGCAGGATTGCGGCCCTCGAGGACCGGAGTTCGACACCCCTGCTCTAGTTCATACTGCTAATGTGAATCCCCATATGCATATTTATAGTGTGTATGTGCTGCTTTTCCTGCATCCCTTTAATGGTCTAAACATGTTTCTCTGCAGGAAAAGTCTTCATTGGAAACAAGCAGGAGATCGCAGAGAGCAGAATCCCGGAGCTCAACACGTACATGAAGGTAATTTCATCCCATGCACAGTGCAGGCTTTTTTTTTTTTCATTTTCTGAAAAAGGAAAGAATTCTTGGCATGCTGGCGATCTTCTGCAGCGTGCAGCGCAGTAGCCTACAACTTGGTGGGCTGAACGATGCTGTAGGTGGATAAGCACTGACTCGGATATTTCAGCAGTAGTTTGCAGATGGAGCTCAACATGTAGGCGTTGCTGCTCTCTTCTGTTTGCTCTGCCCTGTGCCCACATCACGTCTGACTGACTGTAGTTGTGGGACTTTTGACATGTTTCGCTGTTGCTCCATCGCTAAAAACATGATCAGGTTCTCTTTCTCCCACTCACTCACTTCTCTTTTCTGCTTTAGTCTTTTTTTCCCGCAACCTACGTGGCTCTCGTTTTGCCACACTCTCTCGCCTTCGCCTGCCTTCTACTTGTAACGCATCTCGCTTCATCTCCTCTCGTTTCATCCGCTCCTTCCACCCCTCCAACTCGACTCTCCCACCACCCTACTTCTCTCTCTCCTCTTCCATCAAACTCCCACTCCCTCTCTACGCGTCTCTGGTCTCCACCGGCATCTCTAATCATCCACCCTGATTTCCCTCGTTTTGCATCTCCACCTTACTTCCCCGACCTCCACTTCAAATACCTCTCGTCCCATTCTGTTTCACTCCATCCAACATTCTCCCTCCCTCTCCCTCTCTGTCTCCTCTCAGAGGCTGCTGGGTCTGCCAACATGGCTTCTGCTTGACGAGGATCTCAGGATGTTTTTCTACCAAACGGACCAGGACAGTCAGCACCGACCGCGAGCCCTCAGGCGTCTCCGCCCACCTACACGCAAAGTGTAAGCCCCACTGTGCTCCCTGCTAACCAGAGATGGAATAACACTAACCAGTGAGCTGAACTGCTTCAGCTCCAGGTCAGATGTCACCGTGAAGGAAGTAATTTTCACATCACTTGCGATCGATTTGCAGGAGAAGCAGCTCTCAACACCAACACTATTTTTTTAATGAGCGTTTCATATCAGAGGAGATTGTTGTAGTTATATAAAGTGTTTGGTGGTGTAAAGGTCACAGCCTTAGTGGATCAGGTCTGAAGCCCCTGAATGACAAAAGAGGCTCATTGTTGGACTTTGAGAGCTTCTTTTGTGCCACAAATAGATTTTCTTTCATCTCTTTGATAATGTAAAGAAACCTGCAGGGTTAGAACGTGTCCTTAGTCTGCAAAACATCAGACGCCTTTTGATTAAAGGAAAAAAAAGCCTCCTTTATGTTTAAAACTCTGTCTAAATGATCATAATTAGTAATAATCTGGTGTCATTGGGCCTTTTAGGAGCAGCTTTAATGGAATAATGTGTTTTGAAGTTGGAGCGAACGGGTGCAGGGTTTGTGTGAAAATGGAGTTTGTCGGGGTCAAACGTCACGGTTCGAAGAAAGTCTCCAAAAAGCATCACAGATTTCTCTAAATGATTCAACTAGCTGTTGTCATCTGAAGGTATTAGGACTTCAGTGTCATCTCTATCGAGGTAGGTGTTGGTGACACAGCTGATCCGTTATACTTGTGCTTCATTCCTGTCGTCTCTTAATGTCTCATGCACTTGTGCACATTGCCTTGTGTAAGATAAAAGAGAAATATTTGAAAAAAGTCTAACTCAATGCCTCCTGTTAGCTCTGTGAATGAATACTGAAGGTCATTTAGACAGAAAATAGAGCAAATATATGACAATATGGAGATTAGGCATCTCTATCTAAGTGATGCTGGTGTACTTGTAGTATTACAGTATTATATTGTGTATATTGTGTAAAGTGCAATCAGCGTTTACATCGTTGCCCCCAAAAAGGAATATTTTACACATTACTTCTACCTGAGGGTTTTTAACTCTTAACCAAGCAGGTTTTTTTTGTTCTTGACACATTTTTAACCACTGTGGGCTCATTTTTCACTGCAATATAGAGTCATGCATCTCTATGGCAACAGCACAACCATGGCTAGAAGTAAAAAGCACTCAGAAATGTCTTCTGTACAGTATAACAAAGTTAGAATCTTATTTGCCAATATGGCCACAGGTGTGACCATCGCTGGAAAAAAAATGGTGGCACTAAATACTGTAGATGTGTTACTGCTTTGTTTTTCATTCTGCTCTGTGTAAACACAGCCTGCAGTTCATCTGAACATCCTCTGAGCTTTTCTTACAGCTGAGGCCGTCGTGGCTGCCTGGTTGTGCTGAGGAGCGCTTTTCTCTTTGCTTGTTTTGTGTATTTTTGTAGTTTGTTTTAGTCAAATCTTTAAACTAGACGCACAATACGACTCGGATGAAGTATTATCGTTTTAAGCTTAGATTTGGTTTCCTGGCTGTTTGAAAATGAAAAATCCTAACATCAGTTCTGTTTTTGCAGTATCTGGCTGTAAGAAATGGTGGAATTTGGTTTGGTTTTGAACACATTTCAGAGTGCTAAAAAAGTAAAGAAAGTAATTTGCTTTTGCATTGCTGTGCGACATGAGACGCAATTGTCTGTTAACAATATAATAATACACCTTACGGTCTATATCCTGATGAGGGGGACACACTGAAGATCGCTCTGATATGCTCCTTAGTGAAGTATCACCCCAAAGCCAAGAAAAAAAGACAATTACACGATTAAAACAAGTAGAAATTAATACCAGGATGGAGCTATAAAGAAGCGATGGTTAACTTTGCCTATAACTTGTTTCGGTGTTCACCAAAAGAAGAAAAGGTTTACTTCCTCCAGAGTAATACCTTATGAGGAGTTTAGCTCACACACCTATCCTGAGTGACTTTATTGGAAAGTGAACGAGTGATGAAGGTCGACGCCTCCTGAATGAGACAGAAATCTTGAGTTTTCAAGGACACATAAGCTGTTGAATCAAAACGCCTGATGTTCCGTCAGTGGGATTTATTTTAAATGACAAGGACGCCCTGAGAAGTGTTTGAAAAATACGACAGTTCCAACACTTTGTCTCAGCTCGCCCATGTAGGGGGGATCCTGCACAAGTCGTGTCCTCTCTAAACAGAAGATTCACCTTGAGTCCTCGTAAAGACAATTCAAAGACAATAATCAAAATTCATCATAGTTATTGGTGGTAAAATGTTCTCATAGAGTCTTCCAGAGGAGACTGTAACTCAAGGATACTTAACTGTATCTCATATATTATATTAATCAATTCATAGCAAATGGCTTTACAGTTGGATGGGACACAAAAGGCTCTGCTCTTTGAGGGGAGCTTTCAAAGCATCACCAATCTGTGAGTCTGCAGTGGAACGAATCACCCAAAACAAACACATGCATGAATATTATATCTTAAGAAACACGATTTGCCCGTCAGATGGAGGTTGGCGTGGCGAAGGGAGGCTGAAGATAAAAGGTGTGCAGTCAAGGAGAAACGTCAGGCGGTAATTACAAAGATGTAAAACTGCATGAATATAATTCTTCTAGTCAGCTGGTTGCTAAACAGCCAACTAATGAGTCACTGCTGTGCTTCAGTGAGGCTGCTGATCCGAGTCAGCACAACGCCGGCGCCGTGCCTGAACGACCGCAGAGCATCATTTTTTAATCGGAAAAGCTTGTACGGTGCCTAAAAATAAGTATTTATCTACATGTTTGAACAGAGGCGGTTTAATGACAACAAGGTGGATGCTGTAGAGTCGCCGTGTCTGAGCCCATTTGTGGCTGGACTTGATTAAGACCTTTCCCGACTTGCAATGGGGGAATACTTGCACTTTGCTAATTTTATCTTTTCTATTTTCAATTACTGACATTAATTTGGAGTCATCTGTTTTCACTTTGACATGAAAGAGTCTTTTGTTCTGTAAATTCTTGTCAAAAAAGCTAAATTATATTGATCCTAATTCAATGTTGAAAAGTACTATAATAGTTTTTATAAGCACTGTATACATTATATATATGCTTACATGTTGTTTTTATATTATATGACATAAATTAAAGATGGCAGTATTCCTTTAAACCACATGCTTGATGACCAAACGCATCCATTATGTGGAAATATGCAGCTACAGTGACTGCACTGGATAAAAAAGATAGCTATTGGAATTTAAATTTTAATTACTAATTTTAATAAATCACTATTCATTTTATGTAATATTAAAACTAGATGCATAAAGGTTAAGTAGCAGTTTGTCGTGTCCTGTACCAACAGAATGATTAAACACAACATGTAGATTTACAACCTCTTGGCCCAGTGACAGGTGAGACGGCTGCACAACAAGGCCTAAATAGTTCATGTCAAATCAAAACGAGGCTGTCCTGAGTTATGGCGTCCCAGCTGGCAGATAAGTGCCGCCTCAGTGCCTCTCGTCTTATCCTCGCATTCCTCCCTCTCATCGTGAATGGATGGAGCTAAGTAGCGGAGGCAAGGATACGTAAATTTGGCACTGAAAAAAAGGAAATCCATAGAGACTTATCACCCTTTTTACGGTCCACTTCCTCATGCATAACGGCTATCGAGTCGTCTGATTGGCCCATTTCTCCGTGGTCCGGTTACACCAGCAGGCGATGTGGTAAAGAGAGACTCTCTCAACAGGAAATTATGCAAAGTTTGACTATCATTACTTCCTCTGCTCTCGCGTCGACCTCCCTTTGTGTGGATGTACAGTACGATCGGTTTGTTACGTTGGGACACTCAGCCAACTGTGACATTTCCTCTCTTGAACGTTGCCACATATCTGATGCTCTGATCGTCTCGGAGACCAAATGTCATAAAGCATTCTGCAGTAAATTAAGTAGTTTTTCCCTGTAATGTGAAACAGCAGGGCCCGTTTCCTTGCTATGAAGAATTTCATTTTCATTTTCTATGCTTATTTAGTTACATGTAATGAGTTATTGTAAAAAGAAATAAACTTAGAATTGGTCTAAATCAGACATTTTTTTTTTCTTGAGTTAGAAAAATCAAATTTTTTTAATGT